GCTGCACAGATATTTATAGACTTGGAGGGAATATATTACATTGTATCACACAGAATCGACGAAACGCGTGGCATGATGTTGGCATTATTAGCTAACATGTGTTAACAGTATAGCCATGAACAAGACAGATGTGGGTAACGAGACGATGTCCATCTTAAAATACTTATTAGCTATTTCTATTCAACGAATTGAATCCATTACGTACCTTTTTTGTAATATAAACTCATTGAATAGACGTTTCACGTTCATTATCTATAGAATGTATGTAAGTTTTATTAGCGAGTCATTGTTCTCTGAGGAGTTATTACTGAGCTATTCATATTAGGTATTCTTAGCGCGACGATATGATGTCATGCCCATCACGATTCTCTGAACACGTTAATTTATCATTTACCTTTTTCGACATGTTACACACGAAATACTTACGTGATATTTACGTGAATTGTAGTGTGATAAAACAAATATGAACATAGCTGGATTTGATAAGAATAAACTACTAACGAAGTTGTCTTTTCATCCTTGCTTTTAATGCTGTTATTCAAATAAAAATAATACTACGTTATAAAAATAAACAAGTAAAATTCCGTTGTGAAACCAGTCACGAAGTTCGAACCACATCTTAGCATTGCACCACGGAGACATTATTTTATGCCGTTATAATATTATGTAGTTAATCAATTACAAATTAAAGTAATGATGTGTGTCACGGTTAAGTAGCGTGCGTGTGTCGTGTTCAAGTGTCGCTGTTGTCTCATACATATTCAAGGGACGCTGGACGGCGCTGATAGTCCGCACTATACCGCCATTGGCTCGCAAAACTAGCTGAATACTAAACGATCGCCTCTGCAAGATCTGCATAGAAATTGTCTTTGAATTTAGTTTCCTGTACCAAATTACAAACCTTTGAACGGAAGCTTTGTCGCGACGGAGCGATAGGAAAACAGTAATATTATGACAATACATACTAAAGTAGTAATCTTCTTTTACTTATTTGTTAACATTAAATCTCCAATTATTAATAAGTGTCCCTTACAAATTCTAACTTCTTTAGTTACATAGTTTAAAATACATACATACTTCTAAAGCCTTAGGATAGAGCTTCATTAATCCATCAGACACTACAGAACTAATATATCGCGCTTTAACCCGTTAAAGTGTTTTATTTAAATGTGTACTACTCGCGTAAACTATAGACAGTATTTAATCCATCAGACAGTCAGCAAGCGATCTAGAATGTCATATATATTTATTTAGCAAAAGGAAACAAACAGATACATGACATAAGTGGCTGAGGAATAACAATAAAGAAATAAGGTTAAAATGCATCCTTAACAGTTTCACAAATAGTTATATACAATATGAAAAAACAAAACGTCGATAAAAATTACAGGAAATGAGACAAAATTTTATATAAGAGTTGAGAAACAAATAAAATTAATTATACGTTTAACTAAAAACTAACCAACACTAACATAATTAAATTGAAAGACCTAAGGCGAGATTAGCAATCTTTTTAATGTTTTTTTTTAATGAAGCAGTAGAGGAGTGCAAAAACAAATCGATATCGGCAAAATAATCGAGGAAAGAACACATACTGTAAAGTGGAGATAGAAGTTATGAGGATAAATAAGTGCGTTTGGTCAAGGTGACCTTCACTTACAAACTGCTACATCGTGAATCGCGACTAACGGCTCCCCATTGAATGTAAATTTTATAAGACCTTCACGATACGTGTGTTTCTACTCCGAAAACGATCTTGAACATAAAAAGGCATTTAGTGTTTATAATTCTATATTAGTCAAATATTAAAACGTCCTTTTTCTCTGCGGCCATGTTGTAGCTTTAGTTTTGCAAAATGGCGTCGTGATACCTGTATAATATTCATTATAATTTACTACACAATTCTATTATAATTTAATGGCTTGAAAAAGGTGAGTAAAATGAAAGGATCCAAAGTTAAATAGCGCACGCAATGCTTAGTATGATTTATATCACTTTTCTGTTTCCACTAGCTCAATTGTTCTTAGCTTTTATGTGCTCAGCGCGCCATTATGTTATTGTTTCTTCTGACCCTGGGAAAACTACATTTCTATGACCTCTATAAGAATACAACGTTATTGCATTTATTATGTTTGAAAAATTAAACACACCTATTCCAATACTTTGCGTAGTTTGCAGTATTGACTCACGCAAAATAAATATCTAATATTTCTCAAACATTATTCTAACTCAATTTAATAGAGCTTAAATTAAATAGAACGAATTCATAAGTCTCTATTGTAAACTAGAGATCGAATTATATGGGAACATGAAAAAAGTAATTAATATATTCTAAGGTGAGAGATACGCTAATAAAATTATTGCACTTATATATTAATACACTCACACGTAGATCATCCTTATATTTAATTCAAATTTTACACCTGAATTGAATTTACAATCTGGAATTGACGCACAAAGCTTATTATACAGGCAACAAGGCAGCGACGACACTTTGAAATCGTTTATTTCTCCTTGATCTGTTTACATTTCAACAGCCAATATGGAAAAATATAATAATACCTTTCGAAAATAACCTTTTATTACTGTAAAAAACATTTGCAGCAGAACATTTATACCTATATTGAAAACAAGATTTTAATGTTTAAATAAAACACTTAAACCGATGTTAAAAAATAATTTTCAAATAAGTCTTACTAATATATATCGCGTTTTAAACCGTTAAAGTGTTTTATTTAAATATATCCTACTCGCGTAAACTACAGACAGTATTTAAGATTTTAATGTACAATGATAACTGGTTAATTGGGTTACGTTTATAATATCTTTATTTGTATTTAAAGAGTTATTTCTACGTTCATCTCTTGCCAAAATATATGAAGTGACCTCGTTCCCACAGAAGTGAGATCTGCGTATACTCATATTCGGATAAGAGCTATTTTTAGTAACGCCAGACCTCCTTCACTATTCTGTCTGTTTATAAAGAGTGAGAATAACCAAGTGCAGACGTGTCATAATAGATTGTGTAGTGTGTATCCTTTATTATAAGCAAAACAACAAGACTTACGGCGTTTTATATTAAATGCTCATAAAATAGGAACCGCACTAGATATTATATATAATACAATATCAAACATATTATTATCTAGCTATACAGTAGGTATATTGGTATTTTTTATATTTTATATTCATTGAGTATTTTGACATCCGTCGTATTAAATAATAATAACAACTCTGGCAATAAGTTCTATAACTATTCACTTAGTGGAAATCTGTAAAATAGTAAATCCCTATTTACACCCGTTCGTAAGTCGAGTGGTCCAGAATTTAACTCATGGAATACCAAACAATGTAGTCGAGCGAGGGTGCCCATTTCTCACGTACAAACGAGTTTGCAGACTGGTCCATCCACATACCGATCAAGAAAGGCGCTCGCGGTGCCTTAAAGGGGAAAACAACGTGTTTTTTTGCTCCCCGCAAAGCATGTCGACGGCTATTAGCCAAGATGACGAGACGTCGAGCGATAAAATAATAGAAGCTATCAAAGATGTAGTATAATGGCACTCATAGGTGTGAACAAGGTTTTTGAACTCATCATACAAATATTGATAAATAAGCGATATTGTAATAGCTGTATGTTAAAATAGCTATAAATCCCGAATTAACAATTAGAATAATGTTTATCCTGAGATAAATGCGCGGGAATAAGTTTCAATAAGATAAAAATCTCAAAATGTCTAAAGAAACACATCGCGTTGTGTTACATAAAAATGTTATCTTGTGCGTTGTATTAGTGTTCGTGAATAATGTTAATCTATTTCAAAGTGAATACCTCCGTGAGAAATCTGTCCTAACTAGATAAGCACTAGGACTAAACCGGTACTCGCTTATTCCGAGACTAGATATATTTTACGCCAGCCTCAACGATGTAAGGTATTTATCTCAACTAAACTGTGTAACCATAAATGTAGAGTTGCTTTAAGTACGGTAATGGCTCGGAATCTAGGTACAGCATAATATACAGCATACGCTAGTATAATAAAGTAAATATTTATGATTTAAAGAAATAATAAACTGTAGTTAGTTGTCAAATTAGGCGGGAAAACATTGTGTTTTATAACTGTACCTGATAGAGAAAACATCCAATATGGCCGATTTGAACTAACACGTTTCATTTCAATTGGCAGGTGATTATGCTAAGCAGTTGCTGCCGTTGCATATCATTATGTGAATATATTTTCTATTGCATAACTTATAAACCGGTTTATAAAATGTCAAACTACTCATAAGAATGTTAAAACTCAGCTGTTTCTCGATTTACACCAATAACTTAACCGCGTTGGTATATGAGACATTTCGATGAATTAATTGCGACTGGCAAACACTACATTTGGTCATTCCAGGTCTGTAAATTAAGGTTAATTGTACGGAACGGTTGAAACGTTTAAGGAACGTAATTTTGTCATTTTTGTAAGACCTTAAAATGTTTCATTTCAACTTCTGTTTTATAAATTCTTGCATTCATAGTAATAAAAATGCATTTGGGAGCTATTGACCTTATATGTAGGGGTTAAAGCGAACCGCTATTAACTCAATGCAATATACAACTTTATGGACTGATGCCTGCCAGCTGCAAACTGGCAAACCATGCGGGGGACAAAAATAGATATCAGTAATGTGGTTCTACTGACCACCTGCTTACGCAGAAGTCTAAAAAAATCCTTGCGCATGATAAAACTGCGTTTAAAGCCCTGTGTTATTGAACTGAAAAAATAGCAGACTGCAATAAAAAACTAAAAAGATTGTTTATTTCACGCACCTTTTACTGCCGAAACAGGTTGCCAGAACCGGTCCGGTCCATTCTTAGCAACTCTGTTAATATGTTTAACCTTTTCGGGACTAGTTTCCATTAGTAGATTTTATTCTTAAACCCGATCACGTTTTTGTTAAAAAATAAAAAAAAAACCGACATCACTAATATTTTATTTTCGATCTTCCAGGCACGTCGCCGGAACGCGAATCTGCAGACTCGAATAAAAAAGGTGAGTTATAATTAATACATTACAATTCGTATTACATAATATTAACAGATTATGTATGTACATAATTGGTGTAAATTCAAGAAAATTAAAACATTTTGCGGTTCTGTATCTCCTGCATGTTAATAATGTTACACTTACAATCAATTTCAATACCAAATAAACAGCAACATCAAACACTGTCGTCACGTTAACGCAACAGATTCATGTTTTTTTAATATCACGTTTAATCTAAAGGTGAGCTTACTCTGTTCGAATTTCAGAATTTACTGTTATCCATGTCATCTATATCGGGAACAAAATCGACGTAGAAAACAAACACAAAAACGCTCTTTAGAGAATCTTATTATTTACATTCACACTTTAAGGAAAATAGTAATATTGAAACATAAAATATGTTGTAATAACTCTGTTATAAGTATTAATTATCTCAATATAATTATGTATTTTAAACTTCGTGTTCTACTGTGGAATTTTCCTCTGTCAAAACTACATCGTTTTCCTCATGATCTCCATTAATATGCTGTATTATTATTGAAAAGAATATCTCCATTACGATCTGCACACACCTTTAACTTTTTTGTATAAAAATTGAGATCGCCATTTCATATTCAGATTGATTTCTTTGTTTGTTTGAGCGTCATCTGCGTATTTATGAGTACTTATGCTCCACACCCGGCCAGTTTAAAATACAGAGGTCACAGCGGACGATGTATACATTTGGTATTGTTATTTCTCTATCTAAATTTCAATTAGGGATCCAAGTAACGGGGTCATGTCGTTTTCGATAGATTCTACATAATTCGAGCGTTCTCTTCTTGAATTCATGCATGTATTTTCGATAACAGTACGCAACTAATTGTTATTTATTTTATTCTCGTTTTACATGTATTGTTTGTGGAGTGCATAATCTTAACTGGAACTTATTTTTACGTTCGAGGTAAACTTATTTTAAATGTAGGTTGAGTCTTGTTTATTTTAAAATGTCACAGTGTAGTTGCACAAGATTAAATATGAGAAAAGATCAATTAAATACATACATTGATATTTCTGACCTGTAAAGAATAAGATATCTATGAGTCATTCAATTATTAGATCATGGTCTAAAATTGTATATCTGTATAACTTCTATCACTTAGTCAAGGTAAGTAAAAAAATAACACGACTTCTACATAAATTATTAAATCCGAAAACCCGTCCAACAAAATTATACTGCTCGAATTCATAGACATTTTTGTTTTCAAATTGCTATCACATTTAAATAAAGATGCTTCTTAGAATCGATAACCAGCTTTGCCCGGGAATGCGTCATCACGAATCTCATAAGTCTGTATATATGTTTATGTACAGCGAAATGAATATTCATCGCACGAAACGCCCCGAACCATATTATGGCTGTACGAGAACCGGTCTCTCAATTTTTTGTTGATGTTGTTTAACTCGAGATCGTGCGTTGAAGCAATTACGACGGTTATGGCCGCAGCTTTACGATAGAATTTATTTATAACCACCTGCTTAATATGCTCGTAGCTCGGGCGGATATGATTAATCTGTAGCTTGTAGTCATTGCGGACACGTCTAGTCGATATAATTCGATAGTTTTACAGACAGGAATAGTACGACATCACGACGCCGAAGCAAGCGTGCTTGAACAATGAGACTTGTCAATCAACCGGCACAATAGATCTGAATGCTAGAATACTGCTAATGGTTTTTGATTACATATCTCGAGTCATTCCAACATAATTAATACCCATTTCCGTATTCATTTCGTTTGTAAACTCGGTCTAATATAGTATCACAAGACGGACAATTATACGCCAAACTTAATTTTGTTCATAACGAAAACAGAAAACAATAAACGCTAAACTATAAAAAACCCCCCCAATTTTTTTTATTTTTAAGTTTCACTTTAGCAAATTGTCAAAGCGATCACCATATACAAGGTATAGGGGCCATTACATGAACCGTATTACATCACTCCATGACATGTAGTTTAAACGTAAACAATACATATCTATATTACAATGATAAAAAGCAAAGATAATTAAACGATATACCTACTTACGGCACATATAAAGTTAATAACCGTTGATAAGAGAAACAAGCAATAATTAAAATTATTATTATGGGCAGGATATGAATGATGAAATCATTACGATACAGATAAGACGTATACAAATTACGTATGTATGTTTATAGTTTGTTTAATTGAATCATGTTTTTCATAAAATAATTATTGAACAACGCTCGTTGTTTTGGCGGAAGCAAGTTGCTAGAAACGAACGGATCGTGTGTTTAAATTCTTATTATTAATCGCATCAATCAAGTAAAGTACTGTTATCACTTTAAAAATAAAATGACCGTGGTACCTTGCGCTATATTGCTTCACCATATCACCTTCCAACAAGTAATAAATACAATTAAAATACAACGTATCAATTAAGATAAATACTATACGAAAGTCAAAATGATAAAGGTCGGATAAACGAGTCGGACCACTGTACCGTGTTATCGCACAACTATGAAAGTCGTCCGGTGAAAGTCCGCCAAGTCTAATTCGCTCGGCCAATAAATATCGTGAGTCATGACATAATATCCGAAACCGGTTCGCCTCCGATCTCGCTGGATTTTTATCGCCGACCATTATTTGGCCCGACATAATCAAAAATGTCTGTGAGACCCGGCCAGTTTACCTGCCGTTCCCATTGTGTCGTTTCCATCTTTTTCTGTAGACAGGGGTCACTGTTAAAGTTAAATAAATCTGTTGCACCTTTCTTAAGGATACTGTTATTCTTTTACCTGCTTCGTGATCTTGATGCCTTTTATTTTCGACGTGCATATGTCTACTATAGCATTGTCCTTTCTACAATCATCGAATCAGTTCTGATGCGAAACTGTAAAGTCAACACGGTAATCAGCGGCGGTGATTATACCGTTATAATTGGCAAGCTCCCGCACTCCTCGCTCAGACTCGACGGTGTGACGGTTGTCTTTATTGCTTTAATGAGGCTCTATATCAAAAGTTCATTGCCCTAAAGGATCTAGAGTACTGGTTGTAATGCTAAAATTCACATCTACGAGTTATAACAATTTAAATTTAACGTAAAATGTATAAAAATCAGGAGGACAGATAAGCACTTAATATATGTGAAAATACCTCAACCAAGTAACATCTTAACATAGGTAATATCGATTTATATCACGTGTGACCTATATAATATATGTGATTTAAAATTCTTTAATCGGGTACAAACAACAAAAGTATTGGTACTAAATAATAATGAATATAAAATTATAAGTCTCTCTAAGTTTCTCTTTGTGTTATTAAAAGCAAGTAATCTTTTCTCTCTTGTTCTAATGTTACGATTGTTTTGAACCACACATATAATTCAGAACTTTGGTAAAATAAATAATTTGAGATCGTCCTGTTATAGAAGCCAGAATATTTTCAATATAACGTTGTTATTACAAAAGAGTCACGTTCAATATACCCAAGACCAATATTTTTTGTAACTTCACCAGTTTACATAACCGTCTGAAAATATTCAACAAAAATAATCGAATAAAAGGTGCTCTTTCATCTAAATAAGGTACAATGGCGACTGACGTATTTCACGACATTACAACACAATCGAGTTGCCATTTCGTGGGGTTTCGCTAAAGAAGAAAGTGGAATGTTTCGAGGGTTACATTCAAAAGGTGTTTTCTTAATATCGTGCGGCTGAAACACTTATTCAATGTCGGAGTTTAAGCAATTTACTTCTGAAGAACAATTACAACTCAGAAGTAACGAAAGTTTTTTAAGTATTAATTGCAACAGACGTTTAAAACATGTACGTTGCTCAATACTTGGTACAATAACCTTATTGGGCAGCTGTCGTTATAGATACGAATCGAATCGAATGTTTTCAAGATGGCCGTGGACCACGCTCGTGTAGGTGGCTAGTGGCTACTTTCTCCTAACGGTACCTCCATCCCGTCCCCTTCACTTCTTCCCCGGCCGTCGTATCGCGGAATTATCATAATATTGACATTATATGCTGTGCTGTAACGCGTATTTAAATTATAGCATCCATGCATGACACTCTCTTTTGTTTAAATAAATCATTACATGATTTACTTTTCTCGTGCCACTGAGTGATGTAAATATTATTTTGACTCGAATCTTAAAGCTATGTGAGTCACCAGAACGTTTGTGAGTAATACTGAAGTCTAATCCTATAAAGGCAGACATTTTAGTTTTATGTGTGACAATTCATATGAACCCAAATTTAATAGACACTTGTGATTATTTTAGGAGTGGTCTATTTTAATATTACAACATGTGAGAGTAATGTTTAAATGTTAAGTGAATTTCTCTGAACTTTAACAAGGTATCTAGTGTGCTCATAACGCCGGAGGGCACTCACGAGTCAAACAAAAGGTCAAGCGCCAAGCCACGATCTTTGACGCTTATTACAAAATATTAAAATAAAACAGGATTTAAATCAAATAAAATTATCAGTATCCATTGTTATGCACTGTTATTTAATTCAAGATATATCATAGATATATAAGTAACATTTATACAGATGTTTTCAGTACAATTAATGATACGACAAATTATATATTTATAGAAAACGTTAACTTGGGTGAATGCAAACTTTGCAAAATTAATTATTTTAACGCCGCCGTGGCACGATACATAGAGGGGTCTTGGCGTACGTCCAAAACGTGTTTATAATCCGATAAAAGCTGGGATTTTCAGGGCACCATTCAAGGACATACTGAATTATTATGTTACGGTATCTTATCTTTAATTCGTCGATCAAAAATTAGACCATTCACCACAATAGCGAAGAGACATAACAATTGTATCAATTGTGTATAAAACTTAACTGTGAGTCGAAATTTTTGAAAGCTCGATCACAAAGCGTGAAGACAAAAAACTGCCTACAAAAAACGTTCAGTGGCTCGGTGCGGTTGCGCGGCCATGCCTTATTTCACTGTATAAAATGAAAGGCACATGTGC